AGTCGGAGACCTCAGTCGGACTGAGGCACGCAGCCAATGTTCGATTATTTAAATATACTTTCACCTGAATTATGATTATTCAAATGTAGGTTCCGAAGGAACATGTGGGGGCGGACGGACGGACATCGCTAGATCGACTCCAAATGCCCTGAAACGGATTTTGTCCAAAAACACTTAGGGTCTTTAAAATCGTTATTTCGATGTGGCACTTTTTGCCCGTATCAAATGATATACGAGTATACCCTCTTTAGCCATATGGCTGAGGGTATAAGAAGTCAGGAGCCTCTGTGACTGACTGAGGACTACTTGTTTTTAAAGAAAAAAAATCTGAGGTTTCAGTGACTGACTGACTTTTTCTATAGAGAGAAATAGAAAATTCTGAGACCTGAGTCTGGCTAAGGAATATATATTTTTTTTATAAAAAACAGCCGAAGTCCTCAGAACATTACTACTACCTGTTTTTTTCTATAAAAAAAATGAGGCCTATTTTTTATAGAAACAAAATTTAAAGGCCTCAGTCGAACTGAGGCTTATTTTTTCTATAGAAAAAGTCGGTGGCCTGAGTCTGGCTGAGGACTACTTTTTCTATAGAAAAAATTTAGTAGTTTTCTATAGAAATAAGTCGGAGGCCTCGGGCTGGCTGAGTACTAATTTTTTCTCCAAAAAAAAAATAAGGCCTCAGCGACTGGCTGAGGACTATGAAAAAATCGAAGACCTGAGGACTATTTTTTCTACAGAAAAAAATCGAAGACCTGAGGACTACTTTTTCTATAGAAAAAATCGAAGGCCTGAGGACTACTTTTTCTATAGAAAGAAAAAACGAAGGCCTGAGGACTATTTTTTCTATAGAAAAAAAATCGAAGGCCTGAGGACTATTTTTTTTTTATATAGAAAAAAAATCGAAGGCCTGAGGACTATTTTTTTTTTTCTATAGAAAAAAATCGAAGGCCTGAGTACAATTTTTTTTCTATAGAAAAAAGTCGAAGGCCTGAGGACAATTTTTTTTCTATAGAAAAAAATCGAAGGCCTGAGGACTATTTTTTTTCTATAGAAAAAAATCGAAGGCCTGAGGACTATTTTTTTTCTATAGAAAAAAATCGAAGGCCTGAGGACTATTTTTTTTCTATAGAAAAAAATCGAAAGCCTGGGGACTATTTTTTTTTTCTATAGAAAAAAATTGAGGGCCTGAGGACTATTTTTTTTTCTATAGAAAAAAAATCGAAGGCCTGAGGACTACTTTTTTTTCTATAGAAAAAAATCGAAGGCCTAAGGACTATTTTTTCTATAGAAAAAAATACGAAGACCTGAGGACTATTTTTTTTTTCTATAGAAAAAAATCGAAGGCCTGAGGACTATTTTTTTTTTTCTATAGAAAAAAATCGAAGGCCTGAGGACAATTTTTTCTATAGAAAAAAATCGAAGGCCTGAGGACTATTTTTTTTCTATAGAAAAAAATATTTAAGGCTTCGGTTACAGACTGAGGCTTTTTTATTCTACAGAAAATATCCGAAGCCTTTTTGCAATAGAAAAAAAAATTGGATAGGCCTCAGTGACTGAGACCTACTTCTTTCCTATAGAAAAAATTCGGGGTCTCAGTAAATGAGGACGTTCTTATAAAAAATCGGTCCTCCAGAACTAAGGTATTTTTTTATATTAAAAAGAATGGCTCTCTTGCACAAAAGTATTATTTTCTATAGAAATAATCAGAGGGCAGATGACTATTTTTTCGATAGAAAAATCTGTCCTCAGGGACTGAGAAATTATTTTCGAAAGACTAAAATCAGTTGCCAGGACTGAGTCAGTAATCAGGTCCTAAAATCAGTCCTTTTTGACAGAGTCTTCCGTTACTCAGGATTGTGAGTCTTCCGTTACTCAGGATTGTGTCCCTAAAAAGATACTTTTCTTCAATAACTGAGAATTTTTCAATATTTTTCAACCTCGTGAATACTTGGACGAGCTGTTCGGCTGCTCAACGCAACTCAGGTAGAGTTCCTACCCACTCAGTCCCATTTTTGAACCTGAACAAAAAAAGGTATCAACTATCTCTATATCACAAACTTCTCTCTGCACTAGAGACTTGATGACTATGTCTCACACTGACCCTCCCAACTTAGGCTTCTAACATCGGTCCAATTTTTGTTATTATAAAAATCTGCCCCGATTGAATGATGTTTTTTTTATAAAAAAAATGGTCCAGTTTTCTATTGAAAAAAAAAAATAATAATAATTAGACCTGAGATTCGTCGGAGGCTTGTTGCCCCAAAAATAATCGCCCTCCTTTGATTGGGGCATTTTTTTCAGAACTAAATTCGTCTTAAGAGTATGGGGCAAATTTCAGGAAAATACGCATCTGAGTCACTGTTGGGCGATGTGGGAGGCATTGTAGATCCCTTAAGTGATAATCATGTAGAACCCACTTCATTACCATCTGCATCTTGGGAAAGAGAATTACATCTTTATAATTCTCATGGCGTATTATATTGTATACATGACTCTATCGATCCAAGTTTTAGGAAAGTAATCCTCCATGACCCTATATATACTCTTAATTAAATCCATTTACATTAAGCATGCTTCTTAATAACTTCTGCTATTCTAAAACAATAGTGAATATTCTCCAAATCTGTCCCATGTCATGTTATGCGATTTCTCTCAACCCCAAACGTATGGTTGTATCAGCTCCGCAGTATTTTTTTTTTTTTTTTTTTTTTTTTGAAAATTCATTTCCACCCTCAACTGTAGTTACCGCTGCCAGTGATTCATTCGAGATTACATTTTTTTTTGTTCGTTTGTTTGTTACATTCAGGTGTAGTTATGTTTCGTATCGATATGGACAGTGACAGTATGTTGTGTATATGTAAATGTACACACGTATATGACACAATACATTGATATGTACAATAGGTTATTGTGATTCCATTCCAATCATTTACCTAATCATTTTTGTATCCATTTGCATAAATTTTTCCAAAATCGAATTTTAATTTTTGGGACAATAGGCAGAATTTATTTTGTCCTCCGAAAAATACATTCAAATATTTTGGATATTTCTATGAATGTTGCCATTGTCTGGCATTGATTTGAAACAACCTAATATATTGGAAATGTTTGTGGTGGGTGGTGCGTTATCGCTTTCGGCCAACATAACCAAATGTGCGAGTAGATGAAATGCAAAATGTGTTAAAAAATAAATTATTGGAAATTAAATGATGATATACACAACACATTTATGCAAGCCTTGGGCTTATTGATACATTTTGTGGATTGTCATTGAAATTCAGACATTTGGCCGGAGGCCATTGATGATGTGCATTGTCAAGGGACTGCTTAACATCTTTTGACGTTGGCGATTTTCATAAGTGTTCTACATTGATGTGGCAAAGAAAACGATTAATTTACGTTAAAACGGACAAATGTTCCGATTGTAACACAAATATTTAAAGAGCTTTAATGCTGGAGTAAGGAATATTTATTTCTTCCAGTTTCTATAAAATGTTCATTTTGATATCTGTTGAACTCCAGGAGCTACAACCTTTTTACTTGGAGCTTGACATAATCAAGCACTTGATTTTATGACGCGCTTATACAGGTTGAGGTAAAAAACTGGAACAAAGTCAAACGCCATAATTTTTCATTTTTTTATTGTTGATGAAAGCAAAAAATGTCGGACATAGCATCAAATTTTAGAATAAGTTTAGAATTGTTCGAATTGGTCACCTTTAGCACGAATTATGGCCTTCAAACGGCCAATGAAACCGTCACACGCTGCCCGAATGTTGCTCTGCGGTATTTTGGCCATTCTCGGCGAAGCGCTTGCTTAAGGTGCTCCGACACTTTTGTATTTTTAGTACCAACCTTGATTACCAAAATACTTCAGACACAATAGTCCAACGGATTGGTCACTTTTGGCACGAATTATGGCCTTCAAACGGACAATGAAACTGTCACACGCTGCCCGAATGTTACTATGCGACATTTTGCCCCATTCCCGGCGAAGCGCTTGCTTGAGGTGCTCGACACTTTCGTACTTTTTAGTGCCAACCTTGCTTTCCAAAATACTCCAGACACAATAGTTCAACGCATTAGTATACGGAGATTTTGGTGGCCATTGTACGCTAAAAATGAAGCGAGGAACCTCATTTTGTGGCCATTTTTGGGTAGCTAAGTGCTAAGTGCGATGGTGCTGAGTCCTGTTGGAATGGCCAAGGTCTGCGACCAAAATGTTTGCATGCCCAAGGCTTTAATACACCCTCCAAAATATTTTCGCGATAATATTCGACATTTATTCTGATGCCACGGTCGATTAATACGAGCAGAGAGCGACCATCGGCTGTTATGGCGGCCCACATCATCACTATGGCCGGCGCCTGAGTTCTGGTGGCCAACCGAGGGTGCATATTTTCAGCTGACCTCTTTGGCAAGTAAACACGATCATTTTGTTTGTTTACACACTGCTGGACAACGAATGTTTGGTTTTACGCCGAGCTCATTTTTCGATATTTGCCGAATGGAGTATTGGAATATTGTTCAACTCTCGACGCTTCTTTACTTTTCGAACCATTTCTGCTGAGTTTGCTGCATTCTTCCGTCCACTGCCTTGACGTCGGTACGAGACACAAAGTATTTAATCACATTTAAATGCTGTAGTGCTCTAACGAATACCACTTGTGGTTTTCCAGCCAAATATCTATAACGCTTGAATTCCAGCACGAATAACTTTTTTGTGGAAACTTCTCACCAAAATGCTTTTGTATACTTGTAAACAATATAGTCAGCTGTTACTGGAATAATTTTAACAATTGTCGAACGAGTGGCTTAAAAATGACAGCAGTCTGAAGTTGATGCAGTTTTTTAATTCGTGAATAATTGAATATAGCCTCCATATTATGGTGGAGCTAATAATAATGTAGACTTATCTTGATATGAACATACGGAATTTTTTGAACCAATACCACATTGTACTAGTATAGAATATAATCAGATATTAAAAAAACCCTTACCAGACAAAACGTTCACATGATGCTGATCCTGAAAGAAAAACAAATAAATTGAATAATTAATAAAAAAATTATATTTTATTTATTAAAAAAATTAAATCAAATAAATTAAAAAGAGTTAGTCGGTTTTGCTGAAAGATGTATACCCTCAGCCAATATTCAATTATTTAATTATATTTGACTTTTGTTATGATTATTTAAATTGTTGACTCTCTATGGAGTAGGTTCCCAAGGAATGGGCTAATATTGTCCATTTCGAATCGGACCTAAATAAATATAATATAAATATTGCGATGGTCCAGGTTTGGACTATATTGGTTACTTCCTTCACTTTATATGAGATATGTGATAATTCTTTGAAAATGTTAAAATGTGAGTGAGGTACCACATTTAGTCGTCTGAAGTATTCCATTTTCGTGCTACATCTAATACAGATAAAATATTGGAAAATGCAAAATTATAAGAAAATCTAAAATTTATATCCAATTTTATACGGAAATCATAAATTCCATATTCATCTTAGGTTTTTGGCAAAGAGAGATATATTTAGATATAGCAAGTTGTAACGAAACGCTGACTTGTTTCGCAAGTTATAACAGATAAAAAGTATTAAAAATTGTGACCCTTTGTGGGTGAGGTTCCAGAAGGGGTTCGCAGATATATATAATCTTCACAACAGATCTTGTATTAGCAAAAATGTATGTTTTATGTGTGAAATTTGACGAGATTGGGATGCTTATTTCGCTTTCTTTAAGCGTTTTGTTTTTCAAAATTTTGAACCCTATGTAGGGCAGGTACCAGAAGAAATGGTCGGATCTCTACTATATTTATAACAGATTGTGTTAATGGAAATATTGAGATGTCCCAAGTCTGAATAGAATCTGATGTTGATTTCGCGTTTTATTTAAAATTTTGACTCTTTGTAGGGGAGGTACCTGAAGGAGTGGACAGATATATCACATCTTCACAGCAGACCTTGTGTTGGTAGAAATAATGGGGTGTGTAAAATATGAAGAGTACCGTATGCTTTTTCGGATTTTATAATCGTTTTGGTTATTGAAAACTTTGATCTTTTGAGGGGGAGGTACGAGAAGAAGTAACCCGATCTCTACCATCCTTATAAAAGGTCTTGTGTCTATGGAAATATTGAGATGCATTAAGTTTTAATGTAATCGGATGTTAATTTAGCGTTTTATTCTAAATTTTGACTCATTGTAGGGGAGGTACCAGAAGAAGTGGACCGATATATCACATCTTCCAAACAGATCTTGTGTTAGTAGATATAATGGGATGTGTTAAATATGAAGAGAATCGGATGCTTATTTCAGGTTTTATAATCGTTTTGGTTATTCAAAACTTTGACCCTCTGTGGGGCAGGTACAAGATGGAATGATCCGATCTCTACCATCCTTATAACAGATCTTTGTTGGTGGAAAAATTGAAATGTACCAAGTCTGAATGAAATCGGATGTTAATTTTGCGTTTAATGAGCTTCATGAATATTTAAAATTTTAACCCTTTGGGGTTATTTTGGATTTTATATCGTTTTAGTTATTCAAAACTATTACCAGAAGAAATGTTCCGATCTCTAACATTTTTATGACAGATCTTGTGTTGATAGAAATATTGAGATGCGCCAAGTCTGAATGGAATCGGTAATCGATATTCAAAATGTTGACCCTTTGTGAGGGAGGTACGAGAAGGAGTGGATCGATGTATTCGATCTTCTCGCCAAACCTTGGGTTAATAAAAATATTGTGATGTGTGTAATTTCAAGAGAATCGGACTCATACATCACTTCTGATAAGAATTACAATTATTCATAACTTTGAACCTTTGTGGTGGAGGTACTTGGAGTGGAGTGGACCAATGCAAATATTCCATCTCCGAATGCGATCTAACTTTGATAATAATATTACTATGTACCAAGTTTGGATCAAATCGGATACTCCATTCGAGAGTTATTGTGTGCACCAGCCAGACATACGAACAGACTGACAACGGACGGACTTCGCTTGATCGACTCCAATTGCTCTGAATTGGATTTGGAAGAAAGAAACCTAGGATCTAAAACGGTATTTTCAAAGAGGTACGTTTCGAGGGCATTAAATAATATATTCCCTCTCTAGCCATATGGCTGCGAGTATAAAAAATTATATTCACGAGTTGACCCGGTCCGCGTTACGTAGGTTTTGTCTCTAATGCGCATTTTTATAGCATAATAAATCACATATCCGGCTTATATTGGTGGACCTTATATATACCAATTTTGAAATTATTCTGTGAGAATAATGCAGCCTATAAACAAATATTTAGACAAATAGATTGGAAAATGTGTTCAAGACCCTTGAAATAGGTAAAAGCTGGAGGTACATTTATATGATCATTAGTCCGAAACATTGACCTACCTTTAAAATTGTCTGCGAAGATGTTTTCTACTACCACACTTCCAAAACCACCTCCCCATCTCAATTCCAGATACCTATAAAGACCTCAATATCAAATTAGAGGACTTCAGTCCCATCCCGTCACCCAATACCAAATTTCGTACCATTAAATACAAATATAGGACGCATTTTCTAATTTCAAGCACATCAGTAAATATATAATTTTAGAATTTTACCTCTACCCCTTCACCCTGTGCCAAACATAGTACTTTTTGTACAATTACAGTAGACACTTTCCAAACCACTCCCACATGTCCAGGCTACACATAAACAACGACTCTAGTGCCAAACTTCATCCAATACCAAATTGTACCAAATTTACTATTTAGTACTTTTCTTGCACTTATAGTACACATTCCTAAAACGACCTCCATATATCCATGCTACACATGAACAGCGACCCCAATACCAAATTTCAGATTTCAATCACTCTCTGGTTATCCAATACCAAATTGTATCAAATATAGTACTATTTAGTACTTTTCTTGGACAGTACACATTTCCTATCTCCACCTCTTTATCACAAGCCTACCACCAACAGAAGCCTACCACCAACAAAATTTCAGCTGCATCCGTTTACCCTAAATCAAACTGTTCCAAATTTAGTATCACGTATATTTCCAAAACGACCTTCTTACCTTCCAACCTCGACTCCCATACCAAATTTTAAGTTTTTAGCTCTTTCCGTTCACATGATACCAAATGGTGGTACCATTTTAGAAATTTTCGTTACCTAAAAGTTCGAATGTCCAAAAAAACCTTTGGTACATCTGTCCTACACTCCATCAGTGACTCTTATTCCAAATTTCAGAATTCTAACTCATTCCGTTTGTCCAATACCAAGTATTAAATATTAAGTATTTAGTACATTTTAGTATTTTCGTAGCCTTTTGGTAGGATTTTTTTTTTTAATCCGCCTACGCACCAAGACGGACCCTCGTGCAAAATTTCGAAATTGCAGCTTCAGCCGTTTCGTCTGGACGTTGATTCTTATTCAAATTTCGGCATTTAGTTCCTTTTGTCATTTAACGTCGAACAAGTCACATGTTTAAATATGTCACATTGTTTGCAAGCATGTTGTTTGTCTCCTGACGACGACGACGACGACCAGCACCACCACCATAACCATTGTTGTTGGCCAAACTGATTAGAACAATGCAACGAAGTGTGTTTGTTACGTTGGTTGGATGGAAGTTGACGCTTGGCGATTGGGGGATAAAATATGTCGCCCACCATATTTTTCCCCCCAAACGCTCGCTAAACGTCATCATCGCCATCCACAGCAGTGGCAACAAAGCGAGGGATGAATATTAAAGTTTTCCAAACACCCACGCCTCGTTTTGTTTTTGCTGGTGCTGTTAATGTTGGGGCATTGTTGTCGGTGAGATTTTTGTGGTTCGTTGTTTGTTGTTGGTGTTGGTTTTTTTTTTTTTTTTTTTCTTGTATGCAAAGTTATATTTTATTCATTTGCTAAAAATGTTGTAGATTTTGTTTGGCAACAAAAATTGGTTTGTATCAAAATTCCATTTTGTGTAAGCAACAATAATTCCGTGTAAAAGAATGGTAAATGGAAAATTACAACAAGGAGATTTGTTCTGTGAAAAAGAATTTTGGTTAGTTTGGAAGTTGTAAAAAAACAATTGCCATTTTAAACAAGAATGTCCGACAAAGTCAGTCACTGGAAATTGTTGTGTAAAGGGAACTTCAGTTCAAACATCGATTCGAAATATATTTAAAGGAGAAATGGCCTACGGGCAAATTCAGGGAGGAGAAGGAGACTTAAACTCGATTGACTTTTAATCTCGACCTAGCCTTTCGTGAAGGCTAGCAAATCCGACTCTGAATCTGATTATTCAAATTGTTGATCAACTATGGAGTAGGTTAAGAATGAGTGGGACTATATAGTCCCTTTCGAAACGGACCTAAATAAATATCATATAAATATTGTGACGTGCCAAAATTTGGACTATATCGACCACTTCCTGCACATTATGTAAGATATGCTTTAATTTAAAGAAAATATAGTGGGCCGAAGTATTTCAATTTAACACTTCATATAATACAGTAAAATATTGGTATGGAAAAAAAACTACAAGAAAATCGAACATTTTGATCCAATAATAAAAAATGTAGCGGTCGGTTTTGCCAACGGATGTATACCCTCATCCGTTCTAATACAGATAAAACCAGTAAAGAAAGTCCTAAAGTCGGGCGGGACCGACTTTATGATACCCCACACCACTTTGCTAATTTAGTAGAGCTCCACATAACAATTACAAGTTTTTATGGGATCATGTACGCTATGGTTATAATTGTAATTTAAAGTTCAAAGGAACAAATATGCCAAAACATTTGTATCTTTTAAATTCGGACTTGTATTGCCCATTTGGTGCACAATTAATTTGAAATCGGATAAAGATATATATGGAAGCTATATCCAAATCTGAACCGATCTCGATAAAATTAGGCAAAGATATTTCTGAGCTGTATTTGATATATTTCCCTGAATATCGTTGTTACGGAGTGCATATTACGGCTGTGGGTAACAAATACAACAAATCGGATGAAAAATATATATGGGAGC